GTATATATGTGTCTGTGTGTGTGTCTGTGTGTGTGTGTATATATGTCTGTGTGTGTGTATATATGTGTCTGTGTGTGTGTCTGTGTGTGTGTGTATATATGTCTGTGTGTGTGTATATATGTGTCTGTGTGTGTGTCTGTGTGTGTGTGTATATGTGTCTGTGTGTGTGTATATATGTGTCTGTGTGTGTGTATATATGTGTCTGTGTGTGTATGTGTGTCTGTGTGTGTGTGTCTGTGTGTGTGTGTGTGTGTGTGTGTCTGTGTGTGTGTGTGTTACAGGTGCAGGTGTCCTGCTCACTCCCACACCTTCCATCACAGTGAGTTCTGTTCGCTCCATGGAACCTGGTCCTGACCCACCTGATCAGTGGAGCTGTAGCTCAGGTCCAGGTGTGTTACAGGTGCGTTTGATTGACAGGTGTTTTCTGCAGGTGTGGAGGTTGGCAGCTGGACCACGAGGAAGACGGACTACGCCTTCGAGGTAGAGCAGCACCGACCCAGATTCTGTAGAGTTCTGTCAGATAATCAGCTGACTTCCTGTTTCAGATGGCGTGCTCCAACATCCGCTACGGAGCTGGAGTCAGCAGAGAGGTTGTCATGGTAACCACTTTCATCATCTTCATCACTGTCTTTATTCAGAGTCTTCAGTCGGACCTGTCCACCCAGAACCTTCAGGGACTCTGCGTCTGTCCTGGGTCCAGGTTGTGTTCTAATCCTGCGGGTCGTTTCAGGACCTGCAGAACCTCAGAGCTCAGAACGTCTGCGTCATGACGGACAGCAACCTGTCCCGCCTCCCACCTGTGAAGGACCTGTTGGGGTCTCTTGTCAAGAACCGAGTCCAGTTCAAAGTCTACGACCAGGTCCGAGTGGAGCCCACAGACTCCAGGTGAGACGTCAGGACCGCTGCAGCTGATCTTCAGCTCACTGATGATGTTTTTATATTTATTCATTTCTTTAAAAACAACAACATCAACTCAACAAACTATAAAAATACAAATCATAAATTAAATGAAAGAAGAAATAAAATCTTACATCTGCCCCTTTTCTCAAATAAATTAATTCAATGAAAATAATCT